CTTTTTTGGCCCAAAACTTGCACTGAGGAACACAACAGTAGTGATTTGAGGTCATGATTGAATGTATCTGATATAATTTACACTTATTTATTCCCCAATTTAACACGCTTTAAAAATTTAAAAACACTTCAAAAATATTCACAAAAACACAATGGTAAACAATACAATAACAAACGACAATGTTCTACAAACTAGTTCCATAATTTGCCGCCACATAGAGAAATATAATACATAAATTAGGAAAAATTGTAGGAAATGTCATCTTATAAAACTTTTATTGATAATTTTTTTTTTGTAAAAAAATGAAAAAACTTTAAACTACCCCTATTGAAAAACGGCAGAGGGTGAGTAAAAACTTCATAAAGCAAAAATGTTGTATGAGTTGTAGAAAATTTTTTCACGTTGGTTAAAATTTTTCATTTTAATTATAAAATTTCAAACGGCCCTTATGACCACAGACGGCCCTTAATCAAAAAAAGTCTTTAGATAAACATTGTAGATCAAGTAATGTTGCACATCTTTTATGCAAAACATTTTTTTGTAAAATCAATAGGTACCAAGTAATCGCCAATGGTGCACTTTCAACCCCTATAGCACAAAACGCCAGAGGGGTGAATGTTTGATATTTTCGGTTTTATGATCACCCACCCTCCCACTATCATTCCTGAAAAGTTCTTTTGGGTAGGATTTTTTTTTTCGAAAATCGACAATTTTCCTGGACTAATGTAAGTGCCATCAATAGCAGCAATAACTTTTCGAATTTCCGGAGTTTCATATTCATTGTATAAATAATTGGAAAAATCTGTAACATGTTGGTTGATATAGTTCTCACGAATAATATGATTGTATCCAAGATTTTGTGGAACGCAGGTTTGGTTTAGTGAGGAAACTACCTTTGAAATGAATAGGCTTTTGTATTGCCGACTTGAATTATAGAACATTACTTTCCGAAAATGGTCGGACAATCCCTGTCTCAACTTGACAGGAAACATATTAAATCTTTTTTATATATATTTCGTGGTTTGTTGGATAAAACAATGTTTCCACAATGGGCGTACATTTCTCTAAACTGGTTTCTCTTTAGACAAGTTAGTGTCTTGAATTCTGCATCACTGAAAGATTCCTCGCTGTCAAATGTTCTTAATGTGCTTGAGTCTTTGAGGCAACTAAAAAAAGTAGGTAGTTAATTCTCTACCCTTTAGAGAGTGAGGTCGCATTATTCCTCTGAATCCGCCTAGCAATGGGGTTAATAAGTGGTCATCATTATCGAAATGAGCTTGACAAGCTCTAGATTATTCCGGAACATATACTTCGGTTCCTTTGAAAATAACTGCTTGTTCGTGTAGAGAAACTCTCTGCGTGTTATTTATATACACTATAGACCAATCGAAATAAGTCATTTAGAAGGGAAAAAAAAATTGTTACCTGGACTTTTATAGTTGGAAATGGTCAAGAGGCTTACAATAAACGTAAAAAAAATAAATTCCACACGGGGGGTAGTGGAGGGTTGCTTTGGAGGGTCGAAAAGGAATGGAAAATGGTATTATTAAGATTTCCGGCGAAATTACACATCAAACCGAAAAATACCCAATACAAGAGTTATGGATCATGCAAATATCTACAACTTTTGTATAGGTCACTTTCAACGCAGTAAAAAAAAATAACTGTCTCAATTCAAAAACCTACTCAGAAATGAAAAAAATACAAAAAATTACATTTGCAACAATGACTTTATGACTAATTATTGATGATTTGTTTGAATTTTGACAAATCTCTAAAAACTTATTACGTTATTCAATTGTATTGGAAAAAATACGAGAGATATTTTGTTTCATTGTTTGCTCATTGCTATTAACATCTAAGTTGAATGATGAAGCTACAGTTAATTAAATAAGAAAAAATAATATTTTTAAATTTTTTTATGCCGTAGAATCGATTTGAATACTAATAGGATTAAAAAAAAATAAAATAAAAAAAAATACTAGGCCAATCTTGGTCTTTTGTGCAAATTATCTTCATCGTCCGATGCTGGATTATAATGGCTTTCTTCAGTGGCGTATCAACCCAGCTCCGGGCCTGTGTGCCAAAATGTCCGCGGGCCCATTACAGGTCCTATACGCCGGAGGCGAATATTTTTTTTTACTAACCCAAAAGTCGTTCAAAAAATACGCCTTTTTAGGTATTTTTATTTGAACGTCAAATTGTGTGTTTTCGAAAGTGGTATGAATAGAATAACTAGAGATTGAAGTTTACCGGAAATTTCCCTTGTGCAAATTACACTGGAAATTTTGCATACAAATTGTCAAAATTAATAAGTGGAAATTTTTGGAAATATCCCGGGGAAAATTTCCAGAATTGTCATTTTTGACATTGATGCCCGCTTTTCCATCTAAAACGCATTGATGTCAGAAATTTGTCAAAGTGTATATTTTTGACAAACGCAATCTAAATGGGAAAGATCAATAACAATCAGCATCAATAAAAAAATTCGACTCAACATAGTGAATAAACTTCAAACTTGGGTTTCCTATCAAAATATGTGCATAAAATATTTCCTAAGGGAAATTTTAAAAAATTTCGTCTTTAGCCAATTTTTTTGAACAAAACCATTCGTGCATAGCGCCGAAGAAAAAATCCCTCACCCTTCGGGTTCGGGATGGAAAAAATTGGCTTCAGACAAAATTTTCAAAAATTTCCGGAAATATTTTATGCACTAGTTATATTACTACTGGTAATTTTCATCTGTTCTTTCTCAGTTGTAATTTACCGGTAATTTTTCGGTTATTTTGGTAATTTTGGAAATATTTCATGAAACAAACAATTATGTCTATATACTATACGTTCAAGGAAAGGTAAATACCTAATACATAGGTACTTTTAAAGGGCAAAAAGAAAACAAATAAATAAAATGAGCTGAATAAGTATAGCATAAGAGATAACTCTGTCAAAGAAAATTAATTACTTTAAGCGTTCAGGGTTGGCAAAAACCCGGGTTTTCGAAAATTTATATTGGTTTCTTGGGTTTTTGCGAAAGTTATGCTTCTGTAGGATTTTTGTGTTTTAAGACCTTTGACTCTTTGACATTCCAAATAATCGCAAACTCATAACTCAGCAACAACCCACCAGGTTTTTGAAATAGGTTTTTCCTACAAGCACAATGTTCTAATTCAAAATATAGGTACTACATATTTTTTACTTCAAATCAAATTACTATCTATAGGTAGGTACTATTTTCCATTGAGCAAACTTATATCTTACATAGATTTTTTGATAAATGACATGGACAAAAATACTTGTGGAAAAACATTACACCTAACTTCTACAGAAAATATCTTTTTCACCATTGACAGCTTGCCAACGGCTGTCATGTGCGGAAAAAACACCACTTTCCGCACTTGTTAAGTAAATAACTATTTGTTTATGCCAACCCTGAATGCGCGTTACAGATTCACAAGAAGATGGCGAATAATGCATGAAAGGAATTGTCGCCTGAATGTGATTTCATTCAGGAAGCATTTCTGAAAATTACCGGTAAAGAAATTTGTCGGGTTAAATTACCAAAATTACCGTTACCGCGGTAACGTTACCCCATTTTAATCTCTATGAATAACTATGTATAGTATTTTTATTCCGAATTGAAACACTATCAAACAAATAAAGTACGAAATGAAAAAGAAAAATCGAAAATTAAAAAAATATATGGTTTTTTGCATTTTTCTCGGAAGATTTGCGGTTACGTTGAAAGTGACCTATACAAAAGTTGTAGATATTTGCATGATCTATAACTCTTGTATTGGGTATTTTTCGGTTTGATGTGTAATTTCGCCGGAAATCGTAATAATACCATTTTCCATTCCTTTTCAACCCCCTAAAGCAACCCTCCACTACTCCCCGTGTGGAATTTTTTTTTTTTAACGTTTATTGCAAGCCTCTTGACCAGTTCCAACTATAAAAGTTCAGGTAACAATTTTTTTTTTCTCAAAGTGTAATTTGATTGGACTAATATTATTGTGGCAAATGAAACAATTAAGCGCATTATTGTTAAATAAAACCTTAATTACAGTTGGATCTGGGTCATACTCATAAATTTCAATTTCCTGTAAGAAGCTATTATTGCACCGTGTGCAAAGACGGGTATCAATACCAGCATTAACTTTTAGAAATCCCAAGTCAGTCCTTCTTCGTTTTGCAATATTCATTGTTTCCCGCAGCAAGATATACAGTTTGTTGTGCGCTACACATCACTTCGCAAATGTAGCAAGGAAATCAAACACGGAAAGCCATTCTTCAAAACTTAGAGTGCCATTTGTCTACACTAATATACATTTTAACTTTATTCTGAGCATTTGACACTGTGATGACAGACTGGGACAACTTTGTACGCATGCCCCAAGTCATGCGCTCTGCGCTACCGCTATTATTTAATCCAATATCTTATCGAAACGAAATATCATTTGGCTATTGTGCACAATAATGCTAAAATTGCACTTGCAAATCTGAGGTACAAACAGTTGGTAGTGTTGCCATATTGCAATCGTTCTGTGGTTCTTTAGGGTATTCGAGAAACGCATTTTCTCGATTTTGGTGTGAGAATGTCATTATTCTCGCACACAAAATCGTTGAGGAATGAAGCTCAACAACGTTTAGTGAGATTTAGTTTTCAAAGTATACCTATTGTATACCTTCAAAATTGTCAAACCTTCCAAAATGATAGAATCCACCTATCAGTAAAAGTACAGAAATGGAACACTTTCAAGGTTTTAAAAAGTCTGTAATGTCAACATTACATATACAGTTGAAAATTAAACATAGAAACTAAAAGATTCCGTCACTGTTACATTGTTATAAAGTGCAAAGTCACAAATCTTTTAGGTGCAACGCATTTCTTTTCCACTTTACTTTATAGTATCATTAATATCGTTGCTTTCATCGTTTATCACAGCTCCAACATAAACACGGCCTTACTCATGTGGAAATTTTTGTCCAAAGTAAGCAGATAATTATTTTTCAAAATTCTTTAATCAAGTTAATAAAATGACACAACAGAACAATGAATAAATAGAACACACTAAACCTAAACTTCAATATAAAAAAAACTTACACTATCGTAAACTAACAAAAAACAATGAGATTTTTCCTTATTGGTAATATTTTTATAACAAACAAAAGGAAATGAACAAATTTCCAAAAATAAAATTAATTAGAACAAAAGTATGTCTTGGACTTCTGGTTTTACTGATCATCTTCATTCTTGACTTTTACATTAATTTCTTCTAATTGAGCATACAAATCTGATCGATCCAAAAGCCTATTCAACTCCAAATCATTTGAATAAATGTAACAATCATCATCTTCAGGTTTTTTTAAAGCCTTGCGCAATTCTATCAGAACATTTTCAGTACGTTCTCGATTGTTCAAACTGAGAGTTTTAAATTTACCATCAGAAATTACCACCTTTTCCAAGACCCTTTTAACTTGACCAGTACCAATAATGTGTTCGTCGATTGTATTTTTTGTTGTTAGTGTGTAGACAACTACTGGTTTTGTTTGACCAATCCGATGGCATCTATCTTGCGCCTGAATGTCCATTTGAGGATTCCAGTCTCTATCGAAGAAGATAACAGTATCGGCTCCGGTAAGATTCAAACCAAGCCCACCAGCCCTTGTGCTTAGCAAAAACACAAAAACATTCGGATCTGTATTAAATTCTTGCATATTTTTTGACCGCGCTGCCAACTTATCTGATCCGTCGAGCCGACGATACTCGTAGTTTCTTAAAATCATATATTCTTCAATCAGGTCTAAACCCATACATAGTTGGCTGAACAGTAGAATCTTATGACCACGTTTCTAGAAAAAAAAAACAATAAATTTTTTGTATTGGTTGAAAGCAATGATTAATTGTACCTTTAATTCGGGCAATAGTGTGTCAAGTACCAATAATTTGCCGCTGCTTTTTATCAATTCTTCATTAATTAACAGCCGTTTTTCTTTACTATTCGGATCGAGAGGGAAATGCACAAGATAAGGATGGTTAACGATTTTCTTGAACATCATCATGCAACTTAGCATGGTTAATCGGACCATCACCTCTTTCTTATATTTTTGCAATTCCTTAAATTAGAAAAAAAATTATTGCTGATTAAATAAATAAATAATAGTTTAGGTACTCTGTCTTACCGAGTTGTTCATATTTAAATCACATTTATCTATAATAAGTCCTGGTATGTTTGTTTCATCTTCAATATCACGACTTGGCTTCATTAGACAAGCATTTTTTATGTATCTATCTAACGATCTGAAACTGTAATCCATTTTACGTATACATTTCCTCTTTGGTCTTGGCCCATCTAAATCTATATCATCAGTTGGTAAACCTTGAAGTCCTGAAGTTTTTTGTTAGTATTCTTGGGGCCACCATTTTTTTTTTTTTAACTTACCCTGAATATTACGTGCAATCACATAATCATATAATTTAATTTGTAATGGTGACATTGGGCAATAAACGGTCACCTCTTTTTTGGGAACCATGTTGAAAAGTACATCTTTTTTGCATCTCCTCAACATAAAAGGTGCTAACACTTTATGAATTTTTGAAACCAGGCTATTTGAAACTTCTTCCTATAAGAAAAGCAAATGATTCAATAAACATACAAATCGAATGCAAAAAATAATACCTGAATTAATTTATTTTCATCTTTCAAATCATCCATTAAAAGTATATCGGAAAATGTGCTCATATCTCGAAAGAAGTTGGGCAAAAGGAAGTTAAGTAATGACCACAATTCTTCAATGTTATTTTGCAAGGGAGTACCTGTGAGCAATAATCGGTTTTCCGATCGAAATATCCGCAAAACTTTTGCCAGCCTGGTATTATGGTTCTTTATAACATGTCCTTCATCTACAATAATGTACCTGTAACAAAAATAAATTAAATTTTGAAAATTCAGTTAAATTCCACTTACTTCCATTTGAATGCATTCAATGCATTGATCTCCATCAAGGGTACCTGATAAGACATTATCACGACTGGGAATGTTTCAAAATCACCAATTTTGTATTTCTTCTTGATTAAAGGCATTTTTTCAAAGCGGCTTTCTGATGCTCCGGTAATAGTGACTATAGGGATTTGAGGAGCGAATCTTTTAAATTCATTTTCCCAGTTTGGTATTGTTGATAAGGGAGCAATAATCATGAAGGGTCCTTGTGTCTTGATCTCCAATAGAACACAAATTAAAGCAATTACTTGTATAGTCTTTCCTAGGCCCATTTCGTCAGCTAAAATGCCATTTGTACAATTTGCGTGCAACATGTACATCCATTTCACGCCATCTATTTGGTATGAGTGTAACTGCCCATTTTCGAAATATTTAAGATGTTTGGTTACATCGTAATCTGCTATAGTTTGTTGGACTCTTGTTTCCTTTTTTACACCTTCAATATCGGCAAATGTTGGAATTACTACGTTCCTGTCTTTGAGTACTCTTCTTTGGTCCTCGCTTGATTTGGTGTATATTTCTGAGTATTGTTCACAGACAGCCAGCAAATATCTGCAATAGAAAAATGTACGTAGTTTTTAATTTAAAATACATATGCACTCAGGTATTGTCAGTCGTTTTTTATCTGACACTTTCCGTATGAGGAGTGAGGGGGTGAAGTATATAGCAAAAACAGGTGTGACGTCAGATGAACATTGGCGTTCTAATGTAGGGTGCCACCAGACTCACATCCTTTCGGAGTATCAGATTAAAATCGACGGACTTTACTTATATACCTCATTTGTTTTAGGGCAGCCTCTTTTCGTTCAGCTGCCTCAATTTTTTCACGTTCCGCTTTTTCTTGTCTTTTTTTCCTTCTACGAATCTGTTTTTCAGTCAGTGAAGTATCGGATGACGATGAGCCTGCTGCAGCTAGGGAATCCATCTGGAATGTTCAATTAAAATTCTCAACAGTATAGAGTGGAGGGGAACATATTGTAAATTATTTAATGCTTATTCACTCCACTTTGCTCAAAGTAGTAAGCATTTAGCGCAGGATATAAATTGCCCAAGATATCAGAAGGAAATAATCAACTGCAAAAACAAGTTTTTTTTATCATAAAGCAACACCAATCAAAGCAACAGGTAACCTGCTCACCATTATGCTTTGATAATATTATTAATTGATTTATTATTTAATTCGATGACATCTTAACATAGACACTGCATCTCATTCATAAACTGATGTTTGTTATAATGACAACAGAAAAGAAGAGGGCATGAATCTCAACAAAAACTGGTTGCCAGTTCTCCGAAAAACAAAGATCCTTCCTTTCTGAGAACGAGACAAGGAAAATAGCCCAATACAAGCCACGCCCACAACCCTGGATATAAATAACGCAGGCCCAACAACATCGAATTCAAAACAAACTACTCCATGTGGTTTTCAAGGGAGTTTTGGAATCTATGTCCACGGATTTCATCAAATCCGAGCTAATGGACCTGGGCTACCACCCAGTCGCCGTCACCAGGTGGTTCTGGAACACCGGAGCAAAAAAGGGGCGCCCCATGCGGTGCGTCCTAGTGCTGCTGCCCAGAAGCGAAAAGGACATTTACAACAGCATTGTTACTCTAAACGGAATCACAATCCGTTTAGAAGCACAAAGAACCAAGAGCCAATCAGGACAATGCCACAATTGTCAATTATATGGACATGCCTCCTTCAATTGTAAGGCCGCCTCCAAGTGTGTCAAGTGCGCTGGCGACCACAAAACTGAAAACTGTACCAAAACGCCAGAAGAAGCCCCCAAATGTGGTAACTGTGAGGGGGCCCACCCTGCCTCATGGGAAGGCTGCCCAAGCCATCCCAAACACAAACAACTAGCCCAGCGGAGACCCTTCTCCTGGGCCGAAAGAGCCAGGGCCGAGATTCTAAAATCACGATTCGACACACGACTCGACAACGATACCGGCCTTGTCGTCTCGAAAGGTATAATTCCAATGAGATTTCTAACCTAGAATCGTCGGAATAATCGTCTCGATGTCGAGTCGTATGTCGAATGGTGATTTTAGAATCCCCGGACAGAATAGCCCCGACCGTGGGCCGGCACGAACACCAGTGCCAGCGCAGGCCCCAGACCCGCGGCGGCACCAATCAGCGACAGTCTGCCCGAGACGCTCCGACAAATCTCTAGTGCCATAGAGAACATGAACAGGAGCTACCATGAGCAACTGACACAACTGACGAGCGCACTGGCACCCCTCATCAAACAACTACTGCCAGGAACTACAAACACTGCAGCCCGCAATGTTTGTTAAAACCATTCCGGCCACAACAGGCCTACTGCTGCGTGCATTGTCAGCCCTAGATTGAGCAGGGGTTGAGGATCATACGCAGCAGGAAGCCGACCCCGACTTCTCTGCCTGAGAAGTCAAACAGGACGCCTACTGCCAAAGAGACAGCTTCCCAGCCTGGGAAGCCTATCGGAGGCAGGAAGTCAGCCTCAAAAGCCTACTGCAGCATGCCCCTCCCAGGAGGGACGCAAGCAGCAGGAAGCTAGTCACACATAGGACGCTGAATGCCGGAGACAGCTTCCCCAGCCTGGGGAGGTAGTCCGAAGCAGGAAGCCCTCACCTAACTCTGCCGCCACAGAAGCCATCCAGGACCAGGAGCCCCTGACGAGGACCAGGACCATCCACGTAGCTTCAAGTTTAGGTTTAGGAAGTCTCTTCAAGACAACTTGTCCGTTTTATTTTACTTTATTTAAGTTGAATTATTGCAATAAACATGAGTTCAAACGTAACATCGAATTCAGTCATCGGAGAAACACGGAAGAGAACACTTCGTTTTCTACCACACCGCCTCTGAAGATGTCTACCGCAGCAGTAGACGAAACGTTAGGTAGAAATACTAATGGACACGGCATTATAGCCCGGAAAAAACTTTTTTACTACAATTTTTTGTGTTCAACTCACGATTGTGACGCCATTTTTCAATATTTTTTCAAAATTCTTGCGCCAATTGAAAGCCTTGTTATTGCAGATTTCAAATGTGTATGCAAAAAACAATTTTTTTTTCTGACGAGAAAAAAGTAGACTTTTTGTACCTGTTGACAGGGGTAAAAATGTCACTTCTTCTCCCACGGGAAGAAAGTGATTATTTTTTTCCCGCAGGAAAAAAAAATTGACAATTAGAAAACTAGACAGTTACAAAAAAAATGTTTTTTTTTTTTCCGAAAAATTCAAAAACTTTCTTCTTTTCCTATCATTCAACATTCAAAAAACAAAAACAAAATAAATATAAGAAACAATAAGAAGAAGGCCTAATATAAAGCCGAAATGTCGGCGAATTTTTAATCCAGGAATTTGATTTTTGTCCTAAACCTCACTATCTTCCTCCACTACTTCTAAACCAAGGACGCGAATATCTAAACCAAGTATAAGTACGGTCAGAGAAAAAAAAAATGTATAGATGGAAAATGGTGAGATTTTCCCATCACAGAAAAAAATACTGTATTATAGACGGGAAAAAAGTAAGATTTGAGCACTTGCTGTGTTGTCTCTGACAAACCACACCTCGCGCTAAAATCTACTAAAACTGTCAAAAAATGATGATGTTTGCACACTGATGGCAATTTGCGAAGTGGCACTTTTTTTTTAACAGTGTTCGGCGAGGGAGGATTTTTGATAGTGGAAGTTTTGAAGGTGTTCCGCAATAGAACCTTGGACATAAACTGGCTGGCGACTGTAGATTCTCCTGACTCACTTTCTTCGTTTTACTTTGTTCGACTCGATGCTTTCAATACTGCCTTTCCATTGAAAAACATTAAAAGTAAGCCTCGAAAGCCGTGGTTCACTGAGGGCCTTCGGATATCTTGCCAAAATCTTCGCTCCTTAGGAGATTCACTAATAATGTTGCCTTCATTACTTAATAAACTATCGAATTATCTACTACAGGCTCATCAGGGCAGCTGAGGAGAGGTATTATGCAGATAGACTCTCTTCCGTAATGAACAAATCTAAAGAGACTTGGTCAATAATAAGCAAGCTCCGTTCTAGTGGACGTATTCAGACATTCAATACTGAACTGGAGCCCAACACTCTGAATGCATATAATTGTGGTGTTGCCTCTTCCTTGACTGCTGGCTTGTCATCGGATTCGAATCCTATTTCATACCTTAGTAACGTTGGAATACTCGACTCTTTCTTTTCCGCCTCTACCAGTGATCAAGGGATCAAAGAAGTTTTGGCTGAGTTACGTAATAATATTTGTCTTAAACTGGCTATTGTAATACCCCTGCATAAGGGAGGTGATATGGAGGATCCTTCTAATTTTCGGTCAATTTCTATTTTATCGACACTCTCTAAGGTGATTGAAAAGCTCGTTAAAAAAATCACATTATTTATAGCAGCAAATAATATCCTTAGTGTCAACCAATATGGCTTCCAAGGAAACGCAAGATGCCATTTTTAAGTTTCTGGAGAATGTTTATTGGTCCTTAAATGACAGAGAATCAACTGCAGCGATATTCTGGAATCTGTCCAAAGCCTTTGATTGTGTTGATCATGACTCATGAGCTGTTGCTTTCTAAACTTGAGTGTTATGATTTCAGGGGGACTGCTTTGGCTTGGTTCAGGTCCTATTTTTCGGGCGACGCCAACGTGTTTTGCTTTCTGGTAGCTACTCCGATTCTCTTGCTATCAACTGTGGAGTTCCCCAAGGGTCCGTTTTAGGCCCCTTACTGTTCCTATTATATATCAATGATCTGAACTGAAAAATTATTCAGTTTGCCGATGATACAACTATTTCTTGGCGTCACCCTGATTCGGAAGTGCTAGGGCCTAATGGCATCTGAGCTGACTACTATTAGAGAGTGGTGATAAATTGGTTTTTAATGCGGGTAAGAATAGTGTTATGGGGTTTAAGTGCAGTGTTGACGGTCTGCGGCTTGATGATAACAGCACAGTTTATAACAGTCACATCCGGAATAGGGATGAGTGCCGGTTTTTGGGCCTTCTTATTGACCCGCGGCTTCGTTTTGAGAGGCACATTCTAGATTTGTGCAGCAAATTGTCATCAGGTTGTTTTGCAGAAGCAGAAACTTTTATAAAGAATAACTTTTTTTCGTAAAATTGATAATAAAAAGTTTTCCATATGCTGCGAACTTAAGTGGACACACTGTGTATATTTGAAATGAGAAATAAGGGCGTTAAAAAAAATGGATTTAAATTAAACAAATTTTTTCAGGTTCTTTGGAGCTAAATTAGGTAAAAAAGTGAAAATTCAAATAATCTGGAAATAAAATGTCAAAGTGACAAATGAGGTGTCATTGTAATCGTATGTAGTTTTCTACACCATTTCAACCTCAATTTCGGAAAAAGTAACTTTTATTTAGGAAAATGTAATAGTATTTTACATTATTAGCCAGGTAAAACAGTTTTTACTGGTGATTGAAGGAAATGACTAGCGAGCCGTCAGGCGAGCTTGTCACCTTCATGAGCCAGTAAAAACTGATACCTGGCGTATGATGTACAATAATTTATTTGTTACTCATTTGTAAACATTCTTAAATAATAAATAAAAAATTAATACATATAGGTAATACAATTTTAATAAATAATTCTCTGACCCTACTGACTTGTAAAAACTGTTTTTACAGTTTAGCTGTCAATTTTACAGGTCAGTAGAGCCAGTAACTGGTAAAAATCAATTTTCGTTGTTTATATTTTGACTTGATAAATGACGTTTTACAAATGAGTGACAAATAAAATCATTTTCGGAAAAAGTCAAATCAATTTCAGAAAAAGTAAAGTTAATTTCGGAAAAAGTAAATTCAAATTCGGAAAAAGTAAATTCAAATTCGGAAAAAATACATTCAATTACGGAGAAAGTAATGTTATTTTTTATAGACTAATTTGAATTGATTGAGTCATTTATCTACTTAG